CAGAAAGCTCTCACCACTGCCAAGGCCTCTTTTGTCTCCAAACCCTTTGTAGACTATTACACTGCTGGCCACCCCATCTGTGACAGTCACCCCCCATCACTCCCAATGTCTCTTTCCCTTTCTGACTGTGCTTTCAGAGCCGGAAGTTTCCACCCGTGGCCATTGTCCCTTCAGACACTGCACTCTCCTGGAGCAATAGTCCTCTATGAGGCGAGGCTGATTTTGCTCTCCAAGGGACATGTGACAACATATGGAGGCATTTTTGGTTGTCACAACTGGGGGGGATGTGCTCCTGGCAACCAGTGGGTAGAGGCCAAGGATGCTAAATTTCCTACATGCAAAAGACAGCCCTCCTACAACAAAGAATTATACAGACCAAAATGTCAATAGTGCCAAGGTTGAAACCCTAGTCTCCCAAGGGAAGTACCATGCTTTATGGTTTCAGCAGCCATTTACGGATGAGCCCCAAATCTGTATCTCAGCCCTGACCTTGTTCTCAATTGCCTCTCCAGTGCCCTCTTCACAGACACTTCCAACAGCTAAACCAAACCCTTTAACTTTTCCCCACATTCCTCCTGCTGGGTAGTACTCCCATTGTACCAGTTCCCCAAGCTAGGAATCCCTAAACACGTTTTATCTTTTATAGAATCTGTAATATGCTTTGCCATTAGGGGCATACACATTGACACCTCCGAGACTCTAACTTCTGTGAAGGCAGGGACTATGTCTTTATTGTGGTACTCTTGTCAAAAATAACATACACCATGCGCACAGTAGTCATTCACTAAAGGTTTGGGGTATTGAACTGAGAGATCTGAAAGAGGGCTTCTTTCTCTGCTGTGCAGATAAAAAGATAATTTTTATTAGAAAAGACCCATGCATGGGGCGCCTGGGTGGCTCAGTCGGTTAAGTGTCTGCCTTTGGCTCAGATCACGATCTCAAGGTCCTGGGATATCGGGCCCCATATTGGGCTCCCCACTCAGTGGAGAGTCTGCTTCTCCTTCTCCCTCTGCCCCACACCCTCACTCATGCTCTCTCCCTCTCTCAAATAAATAAATAAAATCTTAAAAATAAGAAAAAAAAAGAGAAGACCCAAGAAGAAATCTCTTTCCTAAATTTTGGACAATTTTATGGATAAATGAATACTAAATGGCAAGAGTCTTTGTGTACTGGTCCTGAAAGGATAAACTGGCAATCAACCCCCTCAACAAAAACAAGTTACGGTCATTGGGTGGAGAGGTACTGAGTTAGCACAGCTCATTTACTAGCTGTACCGAATGCTCTCCAGTCACCCAAGACTATACTAAGAACTTTGATTTCCCTCTCTCCTCTCAAAATGATGCTCATCCTTCAAAGCCCAGCTCCAAGTTTTCAGAAATCTTTCCTGAATTCTCCAGTCGTGGTTCATTTCCTCTTCACTGCTCCCACAGCACTTTGAACCTCATTTAATACTTAGGATTTTGTACATTATATTATCATTCTATTATTTCCACATTCTGTTATGTTTCCGTATCCTTTAATTCCTATGTATCAGAGGCCACAGCTTAATCATTTGTTTCTTTCTCTAGAACCTGTCCAGTTCTTGGCACATAACAGACTATAAAAGCTGAATGCAATGGAACCATCTAATTTTGAGTGGCCTTAGAAGAGCTAGCCCAAACTTTCTGACCCACACTGAATTCATTTGGACTGGGGTTTGACAGCTGATTAAGAGATTCATCCCCTAAATAGATCTGTGGCTTCCAAAGTGACTTGGCCTACCTTGCCTGTTAGGATAACCTGGAAGTGGACCAGACCCTCAGTAGCAGGAACACTGTTAGCCCCATGATTCTACCTGCTAAACACATCTGTCCCTAGTAATCCCTACTCCTACATCTACTCTAGACATTCTTTTCCCTTTAGGATAGTGGTTCTCAACACATGGTCCACGAACCTCTGGAGTCTTCAAGAATAAAACCACTTCTATAATAATACCGATACATTATTTTTCCTTTTAACTATGTTGCCATTTGCACTCATGATAAAAGCAACTGTGGGTAATAAAACTGTTGGCAACTTAGCAGGAATGAGACAATGGCACCAAATTGTAGTAGTAGTCCTTGTATTCCACCTGGCTGCACACTTGCATTTTCAAAAAATGCCATTTCCAACATCCCTAATGAAGCAGTACAAATTACTAATTTTATTAATTCTTTTTTTAAAAGATTTTATTTATTTGACAGAGAGAGAGACAGCCAGAGAGGGAGCACAAGCAGGGGGAGCGGGAGAGGGAGAAGCAGGCTTCCTGCCGAACAGGAAGCCCGATGCAGGGCTCGATGCCAGGACCCTGGGATCATGACCTGAGCCGAAGGCAGATGCTTACTGACAGAGCCACCCAGGCGCCCCACTAATTTTATTAATTCTTGACACTGGAGTACACACCCTTAACTATTTTGTGGGAAGAAATGGGAAATACACACACTACACTTTGCATACCCAAGTATGATGGCTCTCTTACAGCTGTTCTGAGAAAAAGCACTCGTGTAGTTAAACTGTGAGCTGAAGTAATGTTTTAAAATTAACAGAATTTATTTTTTTGGAGTGGTACAGACAGTTCCCTCACACCTCTCAGCACTCTCCCATTTTTCTCCCATTATTAACAGCTTGCACTAGTATGGTATATTTGCTTTACAACTGATGAGCTAAGATGGATACGTTATTATTAACAAAGTCCATAGTTTACATTAGGGCTCACATCCATGGGTTTTGACAAATATATAATCATATGTACGCACCATGACACCATTACAGTACCATACAGAATAGTTTCATCTCTCTAATAGTTTCATCCACTTATTCATCCCTTCCTCCTTCCCCCCTGGCAACCACTGATCTTTTGCCTTAAAACCACAGTTTTGCTTTTTCCAGGATATCAGTTTGGATCATACAGTATGTAACCTTTCTAGATTGGTTTCTTTCACTTAGGGATAGGAATTTAAGGTTCCCCCACATCCTTTTGTGGCTTGATAGCTCATTCATTTTATCACTGAATACTCCACTGTATGGATGTGCCAGTTTGTTTGGCCATTCACCTACTGAAAGACATCTTGGCTGCCTCCAAGTTTGGGCAATTATGAATAATGCTGCTATACATTTGTGTGGGCATAATTTTTCAACTATTTGGGTAAATACCAAGAAGCACAATTGCTGGATCATATGGTAAAAGCATGTTTAGTTTTGTAAGAAACTGTCAAACTGTTTTCCAAAGTGGGTATACCATTTTGCATTCCTACCAGCAATGAAGTAGAGTTCCTGTTGCTCCGATCTTCACCAGCATTTGTTGTTGGTGGTGCTTTGGATTTCAACCACTCTAATAGTTATCTCATTGTTTTAATTTGCAATTTCCTAATAAATGTTGAGTATCTTTTTTTCTTTCTTTTTTAAAAATTAAACATCATTTTACTTGTGGATATTGGACAAACTATGGTTATTTAAACTGGCACATTTGGCAGGTTTTTTTTTTTTTCCAAAAATCAAAGACGTGTGGCTGTTCCTTGAAGGGAAACAATAGACAGTATTTGTTGCCAATGAATAAATTTGAACTTTCAAATGAAAATTAGAATTTTGGAAAACTTGTATCCGCCAGTGTGAGCTGGGCAGCTCTCCAACATTTAACAGACTCTGCATTTAGAAGAGCAGCATAACTCAGTGAACCAATGTTTTCCAAAGCCTACATGTATGATTTTGTAAAAGTTCCATTCAAAGCGCAAGATATACCAATAATTTTAATGTGACAGAGCATAAAGTTCATTGATATGGTTTCAGATTCTACATCTGACTAACCTTTAAAAAACTACCACTTTTAAGTTTAGGGGTGGTATCAACGAAGGATACCCACAATTATCTAAAAACGTTATTAAAATGTTTTTCCTTTTTCCAACTAAGTATCTGTGAGGCCAGATTTCCTTCACATACTTCAACCAACACCAGATTACATGCAGAAGTAGACATGAGAATCCAGCTGTTTCCAATTAATCCAGACATTAGATTTGCATATAAAACAATACAGTACTACTTGTGCAATTTTTTGTGGAAAATAAACTTTTCCCATAAAAGTTATTTATGTAAACATGTTTTATTTGTAAACATGGTTAGTTTTTTTAAGTGAATCAATATATAAACATTTCTCAGTATAAATTTCCAACATGGTAAATGTGGAAAAATATAACCCACATAAATAAAAGTTCTTTAGGGTTCTCAATAATGTGTAGCAGTGTGAAAGTGTCCTGATACCAAGAAAATATGAGAACTGCTTTTCTAGGATGCCTTCCTATGATCCTGCTGGCCAATCCCAGGGCAGAAAATTAGATCTTGTAGTGCTGTTCAAGACTCACCTCTAGGAATCCTCCCTGATCGAGCACACTCTACGCGCTGCCCCTATTCTACATCCCCCTACAGTTGTGTCGTTCGGGTTTCCCCCGCTGATTTCAAACCTCTGGTTTTTGGCAGGTACTGGAAGAGAGAATAAAGGAACTCGCACCCTCTCCCTACGCCGAGACAGCCCTTCCAGGTGCGTCCTCAACTCTTGAGGTCAACCTCTTGGGGAAAGAGTCTGACATTTGCACCCACATTGCTCACGTCAAGGAGCACCGCAGGGACACTACAACCTGGAGAGACATAATGGGGGCGGGGGGGGTGGCAGGGAAGTTGTCAAGACTCTGAGATTTCTTAGGGCTGAAAGCACCAGGGGCTTTGGGACGCTTCATAGCGAGACTAGTCTGGCGGCTGAAAACAAGCTCCTCTGGAGGTGTCCTCGCTCCTCCTCCGTCACCGGGTAAGGTGGGACCAACCCGAGCTCCCTCTCCCCCCACTCCAAAGCTCCTAGTTCCGCCCTTTGCCGCTAAGCACGGAGCAGGCGCCGCCGGCGAGAGCCCTTCACGACAGTCCTAGCGCTTTCCGGCCGGCCGCGCGCGTGCTGATGTGTCGGGGAGGCGGGGCTTAGGGAAGTGATTCCTCCCGACGCTCCGTACTTGGGCGCCACTACTTGGGCGCCACTGCTTTGGCCGTCTTACCTCCGCGCTGCCATGGCGGTGTCTGCCCGGTCCGCGCGGGTCCCGCCGGACTCACGTAGGCACAGAGTCCTCCCATGCGGCGGAGAGAGAGGGACTCTGTCTCAAAGGGGCGGGGGCGGTAGGACTGTCCTGTGGGACCCCGGGAAAGGGATCTCTGGAAGGGGCTTGTAGAGAGAGATTGCAGTCCGCGGCTTTGGGGGTGATGATGACCTTCGGGGAGCTTTGCGGTTGGGGGCTGCAGTCTGAGAGAGGTTCTGGGACATTGGGAGATCCAGAAGGATCTGGCACTGCGAGGGTGTTTCTAGTAGTCAGAAATCAGGGGGAGAACCCTGGTAGGAAGAAACCCTGGGGCTGTAGGGACTGTGATTTCTGTGATTTGGGAAGGAGCCGATTTTAAAGCATTTCCGTCCCCACACCTGCGCATACACTTTCTGTTGTTTGCAGATAAAGTACAGAAAGACAAGGCTGGACAGTCTTCAGGGCCCAGGCAGGGCAGCGGAATGGGGACACTCTTGGGGTTTGAGTGGACAGATGTTTCCAGCTGGGGAAGGCTGGTGACCCTGCTGAATCGACCAACGGATCCTGCCAGCCTGGCTGTCTTCCGTTTTCTTTTTGGTAAATCGGGTTTCTGGAGGGGCCAGTGTGGTGGTGGGTGGGAGAATAACCATCGTCCCTTGTGCATTTCTTGGTTACTTACTTAGTGGCTTGCCTCCCTTTCCTTCAGAGCTGAAGATAGATATTGATTTCCTGGAAGAGAGATTTGTGGCGTTTAGGATCAAATCCACCTTTGTCTCCTCTGATTAGGGTTTGGAGGCCAGAAATGCTTTGATCTGAGGCCATAGGAAATACAGAGGCAGATGACCAGAGACCCATCTTGCTTGTGGCATGAAGCTGCCCAGTAACTATACTCAGGACCAGACCTCAGAGAAATAGCAGGCGTGACAGGGCAGACATTTTGGCTGTGGCTCCCTAATCCAGAGTTTCCTAACTCATAGGCCACAGCATGTATGCTTGGAATGGGTTACAGATGTGCTAAGGTATTAATTCCCTTAACCCAGTCTCAAGGGTGACAGTTTTGCTCTCCAGGGGATATTTGGCAATGTCTGTAGACATTTTTGTCACAACTTGAGGGAAGGGAAATAGGTGGCTACTGGTATCTACTTAGGAGCCAGGGATACTGCTAAGTGACCTGTGATGCACAGGATAGCCCCTCCCAGCAAATAATTAACCAGCCCAAAATGTGAGTAGTCCTGAGGTTGAGAAACCCTGCCTTAACTGGAACTGGCTTCCTGACCTGAGTAGCCCCTTCTGTTTGCTCTACTGTGGTAAGCCAAATACTATTTTCTGGGTGTGCTAAGAAGTAAAAAAAAGTTGAGATGCACCACCCTAGAACACTTTTTATGGCTTCATAGGACAGACCTTAAATTATCAAAACCCGGACAGCTTTTATAGCATTTTGTACACTTCTCTCATTTAATCCTCTTTGTAACCCTATACAGTTTCTTTTTAAAGATTTTATTTATTTATTTGAGAGAGAGAGAAAGAGAGAGAGAGAGAGCGCAGGCAGAGGGAGGGGCCGAGGGAGAGGAAGAAGCAGGTTCCCTGCTGAGCGGAGAGCCTGATGTGGGGCTCCATCCCAGGATCCTGGGATCATGACCTGAGCCAAAGGCAGATGCTTAACCGCCTAAGCCACCCAGGCGCCCCCTGTAACCCTGTAAATTATATATTATGAGTCCCTTTCTCAAACAAGGAATGAGGAATTGGCTCCAGGAGGTGCAGTGGTTATCTGAGATCACACAGCTGGCATAATGCCTAGCACAGAGCAGGTCCTCAGTAATTAGAGTTGAATGAATGAATAAATGGCAGAACCAGGGTTAGGTAAGAAGTCTGACCCTGGAGCTGGGTGCATCCAAATGTATTCCAGTGTATTTCACTGCTTCCTTTGCTGAGGCCTAACAGCCCCTCCTCGACTGCCTTCCCAGGGCTGATGATGGTGTTGGACATTCCCCAAGAACGGGGGCTCAGCTCCCTGGACCGACGATACCTGGATGGGCTAGATGTGTGCCGCTTCCCTTTGCTGGATGCCCTGCAGCCGCTACCACTTGACTGGATGTATCTTGTCTATACCGTCATGTTTCTGGGTGAGGGAAAGTATGGGAGAGATGGGAATATTGACTGGCCTACCTAAACCAAGCATGCTGGTGAATGACCAAAGTCTTGGGTTCATTATTTCACTTCTGCTGTGATTCCTCATTTCATCCCGCCGACCTGTGTGTCATCTGAGCTGTGACCCCCATAAGTCTTTTTAAAATACTAAAATAACATTTGATTTTCATTTGGTTTTATGATTATAAAATGTCCGATGACTTTTCTTAATCCCACCCACAGCCTGTCCTGGGGGAGCTGGGCCTGTGGTGACCCTTTGACCTCTTAATCCTCTCCCCCACAAATCCCAGGGGCCCTAGGCATGATGCTGGGCCTGTGCTACCGGATGAGCTGTGTTTTATTCCTGCTGCCGTACTGGTATGTGTTTCTCCTGGACAAGACGTCATGGAACAACCACTCCTATCTGTATGGTTTATTGGCCTTTCAGCTAACATTCATGGATGCAAACCACTACTGGTATGATTCTAGGGGAAAGGGGAAGGGGTTGGCTGGGTCAGGATGGTTACCAGTGGTAGGGGCCCGGTGAGGTTCTAGAATTTGCCCCAGCAAGCATATTTACTTTTTTTTTTAAGATTTTTTTTTTTTTAAGATTTTATTTATTTATTTGACAGAGACAGAGACAGCGAGAGCAGGAACACAAGCAGGGGGAGTGGGAGAGGGAGAAGCAGGCTTCCCACGGAGCAGGGAACCTGATGCAGGGCTCGATCCCAGGACCCTGGGATCATGACCTGAGCCAAAGGCAGCCGCTTAACGACTGAGCCACCCAGGCGCCCCCCAGCAAGCATATTTCCAACTGCACTTTGCAAAGTGTGGTTACAGGGTCACACTTTGGTCTGGATGAATTTGGGAGGGGGAAGGGTCAGTGAGGTTGGGGCACTTGGGATGACAAAAAGCAGAATGGCTCCATCCCCACCCCTTCACTCTTTCCATATCTTCCCAGGTGCCTTGATCTATCCACTTCCTGTAATCCACTTAGAAGAAGAGAAGACTAAAGCCAGACATAGATGTTTTCAGATACTTCAAGGGTGGTCATGTGGAAGAGGGAGCAGACTTTCTCTGTGTGAGCCCAGAGGGGCAGAGTTAGAGCCAAGAGTAGAAGTTGCTGTGAGGCAGAGTCATGTCAGAAGGAGAGGGCCCACCAGGGCTGCTCAGCAGTGCTGTCCTGGGAGGGAGTAACCCTCCCCCACCTCTGGCTTAGGTGACCATCTCTCAGGGGAGGTGGTGAAGGGATTTGGAGACAGGGTGGCAGGGCAGATAAACTCTAGGGATTCTTCCCATTAAGTGAAAAGGAAATAGGAGATGCCAGTAAGATGGGTATAGGGGAAAAAAATCTCAAACATTGAATTTGTTAGTGATTTATCAGTCATTAAATATACCTACAGATACCCTTTGTAAACCTTTAAACTCATTCAGATGCTCAGCTCTGATCATATAAAATCAAGAGACAGTTTTGATAGAATACTCCTGAAAAGTTTCATTTTTATAATTTTTACACAGTTTGAAAAAATACTTAGCCCTCAGGATTTTCCACATGGCCAGGCACTAAACACTTTAAATTTTTCCTCATTACAATGCCATGAGGCTCTTAACCACAAGGGTAAGCTGCCCCCTTCCCAACCTCTCAGCTCATTCATTGTCTTCTTGAAACCTGCTTTGCTTCCACCTCCCCAGAATATATTTAGTCTTAGTATCTTGGGTTTATAGGTTCTCTCCCAAGGTAAGCTCCAGCACTAGATCCTGGCATCTAGGTCTCTGAGATGTCAGTTTGTTTTGGATATTGAATTTTTTTTTTTTCTTAAAAGTACTATATAGTTACATACACCTACACCTTGAGCTTTTCAAACATTCCCTCAAATGCATTCTTTTTTCAAATTCAGTCATATTCTGAAGCATTGTAATCCTTTTCCTGATTTGTTCCATTAAGACCAACTAATTTACTAACTAATGGTAAACACTGAACTGTGTGTTCTAACCCACTAGTAACATTTCTGTTATGACTGAAAATAAGCACTGTTAAATTTGCTCATATAATTCTGAAGAGCCTCAGAAGATCCCAGAGGACCAGAGAGGATATGGGGATGTCCTGGGATAGATAGATTATTACACTGAGAAAGGTGGAAATGTGCTGGACTGAGCAGCTCCCCTTAATCCTCACTTCCTCGGTGTAGGTCTGCTGACGGCCTGCTGAATGCCTGTAAGCGGAATGCCCACGTGCCCCTCTGGAACTATGCTGTGCTGCGTGGCCAGGTACAGGATTTTTGGAAAGAGGAGGGTGTTCTTCTACAGCCATTGTCAGCACGACCATCCTGCTGCCAGGTGGCTCTGTACTCTGCCTCCCTGGATCTTCCCTTTCTTCCCTTTTGCTGGAAAGCGAGGCTGATTCCTTCGTTGCCAATCCCCTAGTCTCTGGGTTCTCTCACCTCGTCATGGAAAGGATAGAGCTTTGGCCCTGCTAGATGAGCATCCTTTTTTTTTTTTTTTAAAGATTTTATTTATTGGGCACCTGGGTGGCTCAGTCGTTAAGCGTCTGCCTTCAGCTCAGGTCATGATCCCAGGGTCCTGGGATCGAGTCCCACATCGGGCTCCCTGCTCCGCGGGAAGCCTGCTTCTCCCTCTCCCACTCCCCCTGCTTGTGTTCGTGCTCTCGCTGTGTCTCTCTGTCAAATAAATAAAAATCTTTAAAATAAATAAATAAATAAAGATTTTATTTATTTACTTGACAGAGAGATAGCAAAGAGTAGGAGCACAAGCAGGGGGAGTGGGAGAGGGAGAAGCAGGCTCTCCGCTGAGCAGGGAGCCCGATGCGGGGCTGGATCCCAGGACCCAGGGACCATGAACTGAGCGGAAGGCAGACGCTTAACGACCGAGCCACCCAGGCGCCCCTAGAAGAGCATCCTTACGAGAGAGCTGTGCTTCATGACTTCCCTTGGGACCGAATACTATGCCTGGCATCGTATTGGCAGGCCATTGTATGGCCATTGGCAGAATGGCCACAAATACTTGTTGGACGAGTGGAGATCTCAGATGAGTGAATTGAATGTATCAAAATCTTTAGGCCCTGAACTCAGGTCAGGACTTAGGTCATTTGTGACAGTCAGTAGCAAACCAGGTTCTTTTGTGTTTGAACACTCTGCGTTCTGCACTTGCAGATCTTCATCGTGTACTTCATTGCGGGCGTGAAGAAGCTGGACGCGGACTGGGTTGAGGGCTATTCCATGGAATATCTGTCCCGGCACTGGCTCTTCGCTCCCTTCAAGTGAGTGGCAGGCAGGGCAGAGTTCTCTTGCCACGGCACCGGTACACAGTGGGGAACTCGCCTCCCTCAGGTCTGCGGGGACGGCTGCCGGTCCTGCTTTGCCTCAGTTTGCCACATGCTTTCCTCTGTCCGCTCATCTTTCTCTTTAGCCGACGGCGGAGTCAGTCTTACCAGAATATCTAGGAGACGTGTGGTAGGGGCAAGAATGAAGGGAAAAAAACTAAAGAACAAAGGGGAAGAATCAGAATAAGGTGACTTGGTGAATGAGTCCGAGCTCCCAGCCACTGCTGTGGGTGGGCCCCGTGTCATTGGGTGGCCACCCCAGCCTCTCGCCAGGACTTCTGGGCCAGCAGACTTAGAAGATGGACAGTTGGCGTCCCTGCCCTGCCAAAGCTTTGTTGCCACCTCTTTAGAAAATCTTGATTTCTCCCTTCCTCCCGTGTGTTTTTTCCTCGTGTTTTACTTTGTTCTTTATTTCCCAGTTCCAAACGTTTGATTTTATTATGTTAGGCATTCACCTTTTAAAGTTTCTTATTTATAATCTCTGTGAAGAATCTACCACTCCCGCCCCTCCCCACCACCACCAAGTACACTCACTTCTCCATCAGATTTGCCCTAGGAAATCTGCCCTTGGTTAGCACATAGGATATATTGAAAAGAAATTGAACACCTGAATTGTGTGGAAAGGAAGGTGGGTTGGAAACTCTACCATAGGGTGTCTTCATGTAGCGTTCTACGCACCCGCTAGGGTACTTCCTTTGGCAAGGATAGGGTGAGCAGCGGCAGGTTGGCTGCAGAAGTGCTGTAAATGCTGGGCTCTGCAGTGGGCCGCTGCCTGACCTTTGTCTCTGGTGTCTGCAGACTGGTACTGTCTGAGGAGATGACCAGTCTGCTGGTGGTGCACTGGTGCGGACTGCTGCTCGACCTCTCAGCGGGTTTCCTGCTCTTTTTTGATGCCTCGAGGTCCATCGGCCTCCTCTTCGTGTCCTACTTCCACTGCATGAATTCCCAGCTCTTCAGCATTGGTCAGTACCCGTGGTTTGGTAGGAGGTGGGAAGCCGCAGGGGTGCGGGGAGCGGGAGATGGCGATGGCACCCGGAGCTGCATTGAGCCAGGTGCAGTCACTGAAATGGCAGTAAACGGGAGGAGAGGGCCGGGGCGTCTGGGCTCAGCTAGTGTGTTGCGGAGTAAGGAGTGTTGGGGAAGTAAGACGCCTCTAGTTACGAGCTGCTTTCGTCACAAGTGGAGTACCTGGGAGAGGTTCCGAAAGGAGAGGGCTTGAGGGATTACCCAGGTGCCCCCCCAACCAAACTCCTGAAATGCTTATTTCCTCCCTCCTTTTCTAGGAATGTTCCCCTACGTCATGCTGGCCAGCAGCCCTCTCTTCTGCTCCCCTGAGTGGCCCCGGAAGCTAATATCTCGCTTCCCCGAAAAGCTGCAGGAACTACTGCCCCTCAAGGCTGCCCCTCAACCCAGTGAGTCCTGCATGTACAAGAGGAGCCGGGCCAAAGGTGGCCAAAAGCCAGGGCTGCGCCATCAGCTGGGTGCTGCCTTCACCCTGCTCTACCTCCTGGAGCAGCTGTTCCTGCCCTATTCCCATTTCCTCACCCAGGTATGTGTGGCCTGGGGGTTAGCTTGGGAGGTGGCAGAGGGCACAGCATTAGGGAAAGTGTGGGGCTGGTTTTGCAGCCCTGTGTTGGTGGGGCATGGGGATAATATGAGAACAGTTGGGCTGATTGCCTCTGCCCTGCCTTCTCAGGGCTATAACAACTGGACAAATGGGCTGTATGGCTATTCCTGGGACATGATGGTGCACTCACGCTCCCACCAGCACGTGAAGATCACCTACCGGGACGGCCGCACTGGCGAGCTGGGCTACCTTAACCCTGGGGTGAGATACCTGATGTTGATAACTTACACTTCTTCAGAGCTTCCTGGAGTATTGGGGTCTGGTTTGATCTTAAACATAGTTATAAAACACATTTGGGTCCACTCTGCCCTTTCTCAGGAGCCAGGTTGACCCTTCTTGTGTTGAAGTTGAAATAGGACAGTGCCATTCACTTCCTTTGAATTGAAATTAGGTTTAGGAAATAAGTATTAAAAAGCCCAGCAATGAAAAATTCTTCCCCAAAGACAAGTTCAGGTTTTTTCTTTTCCTGGTCAAAACAGGCACCAGGCAGGGATCTCGTAGTGCCATTGGCGGTGCATGATCTTTCTGGGAGGTTGATAACGATGAGGTGGGACTAACATGGGGGTTTGGGGCAGGTATTCACACAGAGCCGGCGATGGAAGGATCACGCAGACATGCTGAAGCAATATGCCACTTGCCTGAGCCACCTGCTTCCCAAGTACAATGTCACTGAGCCCCAGATCTACTTTGATATTTGGGTCTCCATCAATGACCGCTTCCAGCAGAGGTGGGCAAGGGGAACAGAGAAGGGGAAAAATGAAGTCCCACTCCTTTTGCCAAGATGAGTAGCCCATGCTCCCCAGTGTTGTCTTGCTTGAAAGGCTGTCCTCTGGTGCATGTCCCTGTTCACCTGGTTGTGGGCATAGCTGATTGCTTCCAGCAGGGGGCACCATCAACCAGAAGAAAAAGTAACTTTTTTTTTTCCTTTAAGAAGCTGTTAACGCAATTCTCAGGTGGCCGCTAACCCCCATTCTTCCCCTGTGCTCCAGAATCTCTTTCCTCTTCTCTCTCTGCCCTAGAATGGCAATAACATGCTGACATAAGCCTTTTCTTCTATCTGGAAACCCTGTTCCCTCTATCTAGGAACAGTGATGAAAGAAACAGAACCAGAAATTCCAATGGGTAGGTGGCTGTGGTCTCCTTAGAACATGGTTTTCTTTCCTAAGGATTTTTGACCCTCGTGTGGACATCGTGCAAGCCACCTGGTCCCCCTTCCAGCGTACACCTTGGCTGCAGCCACTGTTGATGGACCTGTCTCCCTGGAGGACGAAGTTACAGGAAATCAAGAGCAGCCTGGACAACCACACTGAGGTGGTCTTCATTGCAGATTTCCCTGGTACGGAGGAAAGCAAAGAAAGCTTTGCTGTCTTTCCTTGTGGCTTCCTTGGCCAGGGACACTGCATGTGATAGAGGGGGGAGGGGCATTCCTGGTGGGAGGAATGTTCTTGAAACCTGAGGGGTGGTAGTGGTAAAGGTGTGATGTCTCTGTTCTGGCTGGGAGTGATTTCATCTTCCATAGGATGGGATGGGGAACTCTGTTGCCCCTGGCAGGGCTGCACCTGGAGAATTTTGTGAGTGAAGACCTGGGCAATACTAGCATTCAGCTGCTACAGGGGGAGGTGATTGTCGAGCTGATGGCAGAACAGAAGAATCAGACTCTTCAGGAAGGAGAAAAAATGCAGGTATTTTGCTGGAATTAACAGTGGCAGAGAAGTTTAGATGAGTGGAGTTAAGTTATTACAGACTTAAAAAGTGGCAGCTCAAAAAGCAAGCCCGCCCCGCCCCCCCCGGGGCTGTGAATAGCCTCATCCAGGATTCTAGAAGTCAGTTCCTTTGGACTCCAAAGCACAATGAGAAGAAAGTGCCTCGGGGAGGTGGGGGAGGGTGGATTGGGGTACAGTAAGTAGTGTAGGAGGCGCACAGGCTGCCTAGGGAAAGGTTAGGGAGTGAAATACATCCATTTCCTCCCCCTTGTCAGTTGCCTGCTGGTGAGTACCATAAGGTGTATACGATATCATCCAGTCCTTCCTGCTACATGTACATCTACGTCAATACTACAGAGCTTGCATTGGAGCAAGACCTGGCATATCTACAAGAATTAAAGGAGAAGGTGGAGAATGGAACTGGTGAGTATATGAAGAGTTGGGCTGAGAAGGCACCTGGTTATGAGAAATCAGGGCTGTGAATGAGGATCTAGCCATTAAAAGAATGAACTGGAAGGTTCTGGCTGGTGAGAGTTCTAAAAGAATAATCTCAGTGATTCCTCTTTTTGCCATCTTCTGGGCAGAAACGGGGCCTCTACCTCCAGAGCTGCAACCTCTGCTGGAAGGAGAAGTACAAGGGGGCCCTGAGCCAACACCGCTGGTTCAGACCTTTCTTAGACGCCAGCGAAGGCTCCAAGAGCTTGAACGCCGGAGAAATACCCCTTTCCACGAGCGGCTCTTCCGCTTCTTGCTGCGGAAGCTCTATATTTTTCGCCGCAGGTAAGTTTTCCACAACAGTACTAGTCATTTGCCATCAGATGCTTGTGAGTTGGGTAACTTTTCTCTGGTGAAGTAATGATGGGGGGGGGATGGTATTCTCCCAGGAAAGGACAGTCTAGTGCTACGTATCTTTTTCCCTCTCCATTCTCCTTTCCCTGACTTAATGGAAGAGTAAATGACCTGTGTCTGATGGCCTGCTGTCTTGTTCCACCTCAGCTTATCACCAGCCTCTTGTGGGTTATTCCTACCCCACTCTGGAATCCTCTACCAGACCATATAAAGAGTGGGGTGCCCTTCCAGCTGGGATGGGTGGGTCACTAGGGGGATATTTTCACTTAGGCCTGAATGAGAGAAGGTAGGACCAGGTAGCCCTTAGGGCTTTGGCAGGAATTCCTATGTAGAAACAGGAGTTTAGACTGGGTGACCTTTTCCCTCTTTTTCAGTTTCCTGATGACTTGTATCTCACTTCGAAATCTGGTATTAGGCCGCCCTTCCCTGGAGCAGCTGGCCCAAGAGGTGACTTACGCAAACTTGCGACCCTTTGAGCCAGCTGGAGAGTCGAGTCATTCAAACACAGATTCTTCAAATTCTAATCCTCCTGAACCAAATTCTGACCCTGTCCACTCAGAGTTCTGATGGGGGCAGATGTTGGGTACAGATGTGGGAGCAACCAGTCATAGGACCATTAACCTATGCAGTGGAGATGTGAAGAAATTGATATTTTATCCTTTTTTTTTTCTGTGTCTATAGTTCTTTTAAATTCAGAGAGGATACTTTAGAGAAGCCAAGCAAGGATAAGCTTTATCAAATCAAGGTTGAGGAGCTAGGAGGGGTTTAAAAGCAATATGAAAATGCCCTTCTAGGATAAAGGGGTAAGAGGTTTACAGTGACTGGCTCCTTGGGGAAAGAGGTTTAATGTACCATGATGACAGTAACACCTCACTGTTCTCGAGTACTTGCCATATGCTAGGTACTGTGAGAACCATTGTGCCCGTGTTACTGCATTTAGTCCTTACTGACCGTCAGCCCAATCTTACAGTTGGAGACAGTGAGGCTGAGACAACATAATTTGCTCAAAGGCAATACCTAGTAAGAGATGTATCGATGGTTTGAATCTCGTCTGTTTGACTTAAGGTCCCGTACCCTGCCTTTTGTCATTTGCAGAATCACTGACATTAATTATGAAATAATGTAGCTTCAAATTTTTCTTCTTAGTTACAGGTAAGATTAGGATGGTGATCAAGTTCTAAATTCGCAGAGTAATTTTCTCTTCCCTACAGTTGTAGTTTCTTCATGGTTCCTATTATGTATACAGCCAGTAAGGTTTTCACTAGCAGCTCTGAGAATAGTTACAATAGGACAAGGTTAAACTAATAAGGAGATTTAGATGATTGGTAGTAGTTCTCTCAAGTGCAGTGTATTTAGCATTACTCTAGCCTTTGATGAGCAGAAAGTGATGTAGGGATTAACCAAACTTTGTGATGGATTAGGGTATGTTTGCAGTTATTTTGTAGGTTTGGATATACAGGGTGATTGAGGAAGCACCTCAATTCCTTGAAAACTCAAAAGCCTAGCATTGGGCTAGGAAGTAAGAATGCATAGAGAAAAAAGAAAAAAAAAAGGCTCCTGCTCTGGGTGCTTGTTCATGGTCTCACAGCAAAGACTAGCAGTAAATTGGCAGTCCCAGTAACTTTTGATGAAGGATGGCATCTCTGTTTTCAGGCTTCGCTTCCCATGCCCCCCCCCACCCCCAGTCAGTGGTTCTTTCCTAGGCAGCTGCCTTTTCACTGTACACACTTGGTATGATTATGTCCACCTCGTGGTTTCCAGTGCCGCTGCTGCTTAGCTTTCTTTCCTGTGCCCTGGACCTATAGATCTAACTAGCTCCACCTGGACATCCCGCAAAGCTTTCAAACTCTGTGCTAAGCAGAACTTAATTCATCCCCAACTCATACCTGCTTCTCTATTAGTGAGTGGCAACTGCATTTTTTCTGGCCAAGCCATTAAGAGTATCTTGTCTTGAGTCTTCCTTTTTTTTCCTCACATTTCCCGAATTCCAAGTTGTATCAATTCTACCTCTTCAATTTATTCATCTCTACTACCTCTGTTCTTTCACCCTTTATCTTGGAATCTAGGCAGAGATAGACCAGAGCAGGTGCAGTTGGGCCTGAATCAGGGCATCCCCCTGAAGCCTGACTCCTGTAAGGCATTGTGTGAGTTAGCTAGCTGTAGGTGCCCCGGGGTATCTTGATCACTTGTCAAGACCAGTGTGGGGAAACACGGTTCTCAATAGTTTTGCACATCTCAATGACACAATATACCTTGGCACAATGTCCTTTGCTAGGAAGTTCAGCTATCTTCTGCTCCCCTGCACTACCCCCGCACCCCCCGACCCAGCTCATTACTTGACTGGTAAGAAAAGTAGTTCTTCATTTGGGGAAGGGACTCTTACAATAGTTTTAATATAGGCAAGGATGTGGGACGCCTGGGTGGCTCAGTCGTTAAGCGTCTGCCTTCGGCTCAGGTCATGGTCCCAGGGTCCTGGGATCGAGCCCCACATCGGGCTCACTGCTCAGTGGGAGGCCTGCTGCTTCTCCCACTCCCCCTGCTTGTGTTCCCTTTTTTGCTGTGTCTCTGTCAAATAAATCTTTAAAATATATATATATAGGCAAGGATGCTATCCCAAAACTGTTAGCATACCACCTCTTTTTCCCAGTGAAAATGTTGGGGTGTGGAGTGGAAAGGTGGTTGTCTTAATACTGTTTATGAGGAATGCTGTTCAATGGAATAAATGAGTTCAGATTTCAGGAGGAATCAGGCCCTGCGTAGCTGTTAGAGGAATGGGCTATCAACATCCTTTTAGCCAGGCTTTAATATTCCAATTCATTCTACTTCCAGTATTTGGATCTTTAGTCGCTAGCCAGGTCATCCCTTCAAAACTTTTCTGTAACATGGCATGCTTTGATATTCAACCATTTGCAGTCACCATCACCCCATTTGACACCTTTGCTTCTCTTCTCGCTGGGCTGGTTACGATTTCTTCACCTTATTTTTAGAATCTTTTCTCCCCCATGTTAGGCAGAAGACAGGGCCTTTTTACAAAAGATCCTTCTCCAAGCTCCTTGAGGTCCAGTTATCTTCCTAGTAAATACTGAAACCCAACAATTTCTCTGGTGCTGTCCCACCAGCCTACAGGCACCCAACTCTTCCCCATTCCCCTTATTTGACCAGCATGGTGGTTTTTACAGCAATGCACTATTCTCTAGATAATGTTTTGAAACTTTTAAAGACCTTCAGATTTAACTTTGCCTCCCCTCCCAACAGTTACAAATTTTTAAGCCTCCAAATAGGTGTAATTAAGCATTCCTTGGGTCTCACACCACTTGATTTTCATACATGCTTGTGTAAACATGTGCCAAATGGCTATCTGTACTTTAGCTCCTAGGCTTAAAAAGGGATGGTTCTTGAGTTCTTGTCTAGACCTCTACAAACTCAAAGGTTTTAGAAAGTTACAGCATCTTCACTGTAATTTTGTGAGCTATCTTATAAAATGGATTAGAACCTGGCCCCCTCACCACTGTTGAAAAATTTTGCCAATTCTATCATGTACTGAACATGTATGTAACTTGCAGCCTTAACACCTGTTTATAATAAAGGTATTAATACTTAAGACATATCTAAGTAAAAACTTTTTCACACTGGAAAGCTAGATAATGGGTTTACGTTTCAAGACTGAACATTACCATTCCATGTTTTGTTCTTAATCTTGGACAATTCTGTAAAACATTAACTGGGGGCACCTGCGTGGCTCAGTAGTTAAGCGTCTGCCTTCGGCTCAGGTCATGGTCCCAGGGTCCTGGGGTCGAGTCCCACATCAGGCTCCCTGCTCCGCAGAGAGCCTGCTTCTCCCTCTCCCGCTCCCCCTGCTTGTGTTCCCTTTCTCACCGTATCTGTCAAAATCTTAAAACATTAACTGGCAGTTGAGTGGCTGCTGCAGTAAGGACACATGGATCTTGGCCATTGCATCAGCCAAAAAGGCAGTGCTGGACAAACGTCAAATCTTGGGATATTTTTCTTAGTGCTAGGGATAGGATTTACAAACCTATTAAAATGCTTGCAGGGCGCCTGGGTGGCTCAGATGGTTTAAGCGTCTGCCTTCAGCTCAGGTCATGATCCCAGGGTCCTGGGATGGAGTCCCGTATCGGGCTCCCTGCTCCTTGGGAGTCTGCTTCTCTCTCTCTCTCCCCCCTCCTCTGTCTCTCATGAAGAAATAAATAAAATAGTTTAAAAAAATAAATGTTTGCAGTCATGGTTTGAAGGGGTTTGAGGTGATTCCCCTGAACCATGGGAAGGATTACCTCAAATTATTAAGGGATAAAGAATATGTTCTCAGATCATATTCATACCAAAACACTTTTAAAGAATAATGGAGACAGTTAAGGTAGAACCTAGCATTTTATTTAGATCTTCATTAAACTGTTGGAATTGAGAACCAGACATACGTAATAAACCTCCAAAAATAGATCCTGAAAGGCACTTTCTGCTTAGGGCAAGCAGTCATGGAATAAGCATGTAAACAAGCTGGCTTCTCTGTACCACACCAGCCAAGTCAGCTTTCTCCATGGCCAGCCGCACCAGCTCTGCCCTCCCTTCTGTTAACACCAGCCAGACCCCCTGTAGGTCTAACCCAAGGTTTTTCTGTAGGACACCTTGGCCTACCTGGGAATGCTGGAAACATGTTGTTAAAGGAATCATGGTGTTGAGGAAAAAAAAAAAAAAAAAAAAAAAAAAAACTTTTAAAAGCTGCCATCTGAGGTGATGGCTTCTCTGTACTTACGCCATACCCCAGAATACAATAAATAAGCAATTAGAAAATGTTCAAGTATGAAGGGATTTCCTCCTCCCCGCCAAAAGCACTGCTCTCTGAAGGAAGCTGGTTTCTCTGTAGCTACACCAGCTGTTCAGAAAGCTCATTGGACCTGGTTTTGAAAATAAAACAAAGTTAAAACCCTGGGAGGAATTATTGTGCAGTGTGGAGTACTCAGTCTTTCTTATAAAGAAAAAAAAAGTTATCTGGTACCAAAGTGTGCAACCTACAGACCCTCAGGTACTGCCCTGTGACTTCTCTGTATGACATCACAAGGGTGCCAAGTGCCTGTTTTTCTAGAGCTAGGAGTTGGTGGTTTGGCTAGTGCTGAAACCATGCATAGGATTGGTTTACTAAATAAAAACCTTATTACGTACGTCCTCCAAAAGACAGCTGAAAAGTGGAGAGATTTTGATTTGGTGCTATTTAAGAGATGGCAATTAAGAGCATAAGCACCAGGGAGATGGTTTAATGGTAACTGCCTTTTTTTTTTTTTTTTTGTCAGGCTAGAGCTCCAACTGGAACTTGCGTTACATGCAAGAATGATTGGATAGGGAACACTCCCTGACAAAGAGCTACATAATTAGAAATGGATTAAGTTATAGGGAAGATAAGGGGAGGCTTCACATTCATAATAGAGCTCAAGACATTACAAATTCATGCTGACAGGGCTATGGCATTGCCAGACAGAGGCTATAATGGAACTACAAGTACTTTACGTGCACATTACAGGACATTTTCAGCATTTGGTGGGAAAGTCAATGCAATTAGGATTTTAGAAGGTTGGGTGATAGGGCACAAAGGTTCAATTTCAAAAAGCATTATTTACTACAGTGTTGTTGGTTTGTTTCTAGGCAGTTACATGGATCACCTATGCTCACTAAATTCATTATAATGGTGAACAAAACACCTAGGGACAGAATAGCAAGCCCAACTTACAGTCCCCCACACAAGCTAAAATTCATGTCATTGAACTAGGAGTGACTGCAACTGATCAGGAGCTGAAAGAGGACAGGAAAATTTAGGAAGAAGGGCCCTTTCCCTCAGAGCTTGAAGGCTTCTCTGTAGCCTACGCCAACAAGTCTGGGGAAAAAAGGCTAACACTTTCAATATTTAAGCTTTTTGGGCACTTCCCATGGGAAGCTGTCCCTACCAAAGTGGCCATAGGCTGCAGTCCTCTGATAAATTGGCTTCTTCAGATCCAGATCCCTGGAATATACAAGTCCGTAACTTAATATGTAGCATTCAATTAAAATAAAGCAAAACAATCAGCAAGACTCATTTTCAAGAGTTCTGGCAAATGAGTTCAGTTCTCTGGGGTTTGCTAGGAAAAAAGTTTGTGGCAGAAGTGTTTGTTACTTCCCTGGTGTCCAAACTCCTCGCACAGTCCTTATTAGTAACTACAGTTCTTGTTTTTCCATCCTTGGCTCAACAAATACGAAAACTTGTCATTATTCTGAGAAATTCCAAGTGTCAAAAGCTCATCTGAGATCATGGCATACTTACCAAGGTCCCATGCCCACACCCTGTTTATTTTCTTTATAGCAGCCTTGAATATCCCACTTATCTGTACTAATTTCTTTTAAGTAAAATAAACATCCTTAGATAACATGAGCACAAATCCCCGTATCAAATGTGGAAGACTTTCTAGGGTGGTTAGTCTAAGCCATGGAGCACTGTAATTTTAGATTGTTCTTAACATAAGCCTTTACTAAAGGCAATTTAAAGATTACATCAACAGTTATAAGAACTAAAACATTTCCCCACTTAAGGAGTCTTCAAGACCTTCACGTTCTCGGATTTGAATATATCTCAAATATATGTATATACACGCAACACCCACACCCTCATTTTTGACTAGCAATAGGCTTTACCATCTTTACCTGACAATGACCCCAGGGCGGAGGTCAAAATTCTTCTTCACAATCTCTAATAGCTCTCTCTCACTCTTCTGAGAGGTGCCATAATGGAAAATGGAGATAGACAATGGATGAGAAACTCCAATAGCATAAGAGACCTAAAAGGATTCAAATGTCATATGAGAGTCAGTGACTAAAAGACCCACACACTTATGTAACACACCGGTATTTAAAAAAGACAAATACTACGCTAAATGCCCTCCCACTTGCATGCCTTCTAATCACTCCAGTTACACAAAAGAGTATATACCTGAACAAGAACCCTTCTGCACAGACCTCCTTTAACAAGGGATTTTGCCACCCAACGAGCAGCATAAGCAGCTGAACGGTCCACCTTGGTATAATCTTTTCCTGAAAAGGCACCTCCTCCATGAGCTCCCCAACCGCCATAGGTGTCCACAATGATTTTCCGGCCAGTCAAACCAGCATCACCCTGAAATTACAGGATTTTAGTCACTTTATGCCTGGTGCTTTCCAATAAATGGTTCTAGGTCAGGTTTGTTAAAACGCCTATTCTGCACCACTCAGCAGATACCCGCAGAAGATTCACATGCAGACTTACAAAAGTGGGGGGGGGGGGGAGTTATAGTAGCCAAATTTGCAAGTAACCATTACAGAAAATTAAAAAAAGTCAAATTGTATCATA